GTTGAGGTTGTCACGAAGCTCAGCGGCGGCGGGATCCCGGTTGAAGGCAAGCACTGCACGATGGCGTGATGTTCACAGACGCAGAAGATATAAATTTGGAGGTGGTCTCTTCTCTTCTACCTAGCTTGACTGCGTGGCGGCTTGTACAGCTGTTGTTAACACCTGCAATGGTTCGGACGATGTATCAGCAAACGAGGCATTCAATTCCTTGCGGAATATGTTGCAGTTGCGTCTGTAGCATCGACGTCGGAGGCGGCACTGGTTATACGTGGCCAAATCAATTATCAACGGGTGGCGATCACTTTCCCAACAGTCTGGTTCTAGGTCCCACGAAACGTCACACATGCCCAACCACCACGAGAGATCGGGCGCATACCGTGGAGCACAGGGATGATCCCACTGGCGTGTAGAAGTGGCCAGGGCATTCAGAAGGACAAAGTTCGCGTTTTTAATTGTGTCTAGCACGATGTTGCCTCTAGCACTAAAAAAGGGTAGCCCCCCGATTGATGAGGTGCATTGAAGTCTTCCCCAACTTGAACGGGGAACTCAGGGCAGGTTTAACACAGGTAAGCCAGCCACCCTAACGCAATTTCTAAGCGCTGCCACTATACGGACGCACGGAAACTGAAACCGCAATGACGTCAGTACGTGAAAGTCTAACGAGTACTGCCGCCACTCCCTGCCACTGGATACACCACGGCAGTAGGGAAACTTGCGTTTGGGGATATGTAGTCGCAACATACACTGCAACCTTGCCTCAAAGTCCCAACGCATTGGTGCAGCGTCAATCAGGGGTGGTTGGGGAAGCATACGCAGAAATCCAGGAATGCGTGGAAGCGAATTCATTTCCTGTAGAAACAGGCACCAAGCGGGGAGCTTTCCCAACACAAGGCGACAGCGATGCTCACCAACTTTATTTGGAAGTCCCCGGCAGCTCCACGGCAGTGCACAGTGGTGGTGCGTTGCTTTCGAAGGAGTGGTCATTGCAGTGGGAGGTTGGCGAGCACCTCCTTTGACAGCTCGTGCAGTTGCCGAGCAAGAAGGTTGGAGAAGCTCTGCTGGAGTCATCTTGACTGATGCTGACGCGCTTGCAGAGGATGATTGAGGTACAGAAGCGGCGTACGGCACATCTGTATCGCGCATCACAGTTGGTGCAGCGGGTCGAGCGGGATGGGTTCTGCATTGAGCAAGTCGCTTGACTTCCTTTTGGAGCTGCGCTATCTGTTGATCAGGCTTCGCCAGATCGTCTGTCGTCGTAACACTTGATTTCGGCGTGCTTGCAGCCTGCTGAACACGTTTTTTGCCCCGCTTCATGGCGTCGCTGTACGTGGGGTCTTCATAACAAGCATTTCCCAGTTCTGCCAATGCTGGTGTGTCCACTTCGGAGGGGGACAACAGTTTAAACCGATTGCTTGTCGGAATGTCAGCGTCCCTTTCTTCTTTTGTCACTGAACACTGGTGGTGCTTGCGTCGGCGATGGGCTTTGAGAGCCTTCTGTTTAACTGTACAATCTTTGAGCGTAATATTACGATCGTACGTTTGGCAGAGCCCGCATTTGTATGTGCGCGCCCCGGCGGACTTCATAGAAGTATCTGATGGTTGGGGACAAGAATTTTGGATATTACTGGTACGAAAACACCGATAGCAGTGTACCACACCGGGCTTGTATACATGAAATTGCAGGATGCTTCCATAGTACGCAACGCGGCTTGGTGCCGTTCGGGGATCTCAGAGAGTGACGAGGCACGTGCGTCCACGGCCCATATAACGAGCTGTTACGATCTTGTGTGTGGAGCACGTCAAAGCAGCGACAAGGCTTTACCGTGATTTCCCTGGGTCAACCCCAGAGACCACATACCGACGCTAGTCCGAGCCAGAACTCAAGTACGCTTGCACTTGCACGGTACAATCAGCTGTGACTGGTAGAGTTCGCAGTTGGTTGAAGTGGTTAACACGCGCTAGCGAACGCACCCTTGCAGATACGCTGTTGGTGGGATGGTGAATGGAGAAACCTTGAAACGTGGTGGTTTTGAGGCAGGCGTCGAAGGCTGACTGAAGGAGGCGATATGACAATTTTGATACGTCGAAGCACTCACGTGATTTTACGACGACTTTGTACTTAGACTCGGTGCTAGGCGAGGCATCAGCTGCCGGAGAGGGGCATTCCCGCTTGCTTGCCGGTGTGGCTGAAGCAGAAAAAATGGCAGCATAAACACGGGGTGAATGATGATTGATTGATTGATATGTGGGGTTTAACGTCCCAAAACCACTATATGATTATGAGAGACGCCGTAGTGGAGGGCTCTGGAAATTTAGACCACCTGGGGTTCTTTAACGTGCACCCAAATCTGAGTACACGGGCCTACAACATTTCCGCCTCCATCGGAAATGCAGCCGCCGCAGCCGAGATTCGAACCCGGGGTGAATGATGGGGAATGGGGCGAAGCATCCGTGCGTTCATTCATTCTTGCTTCCATTCGTTCATGCGCCCGTCTGTGTGAACGTCCATGCGTCCATCTGCCCATCTGTGCGTGCCCCTGTTCATGCGTCCGCACGTTCATCTATGCGTCCGTCCCTGCCTTCGCCCATGCATCCGCCCCTGCGTCTTTCTATGCGTCCATCCGTCCGTGCAGCCATCCATGCGTCTGTCCATGCATCTGCCTGTGTGTCCATTCGTACATCTAGTCAACACTCCGAGTACCAACATCTCGCATCTTTTCATGTATACTGTTTCTGTGACTCGACGGGAGCATTCCTGAAATGATATTACAATGAAAAGCAGTGCTAGTTTTATGAAAGGAAAGAAAATGCAACCTTTTTACCCTAGTGTAACCCGCGAGCGTAGGTGCGCCACCCTTCTGACTTCGCTTGTTGGGACGGCCGCAGAGAAACCCGCTGTGATTGATATGTGGGGTTTAATGTCGCAAAACCGCCATATGATTATGAGAGACGTTGTAGTGGAGGGCTCCGGGAATTTCAACCACCTGGGGTTCTTTAGCGTGCACCCAAATCCGAGCACACGGGCCTAGAACAATTCCACCTCCATCGGAAACGCAGCTGCCGCAGCCGGGATTCAAATCCACAACCTGCGGGTTAGCAGCCGAGTACCTTAGCTACTATACCACAGTGGCGGGGCAAAAGCCGCTGTGCGCCCACGTCTTGGAGTTCATGTTACAAAGAAACACGCAACCCAGCCCGGCGATCCTACGCCTGTGTTTCCCCACATGTAAAGCATGTGGGGAAAGGGCCATGCAATGGCACATGCGGCACGTGCCGGAAAAATTGATGTCACTGCCTACGCTCACTTCGTTGACGCATGTTAGGCAGGGATGAACTCCGAGGCGATTTGTTGCTGCTACCACAGCGCGAGGGCAGGGGCCAGCCACTGCCACGGCTGCGGTAACTGCTGAGCATCGACTGCGTCAGCGTCGACCCGCAGTGACATCAACGTCAATTAGTCCGTGCCGAGCTGGCTGACAAGCTTTGGGCCATTGGGCAAGCCGAAGATAACGCCCGGGCCCAAGGACTTAAAGCGTCCACCTGAAGCACCGCCATCATCATCGACGGAGGGTGGGAAGGCACATGGTTTAATCCCTTCTTCCCCCCGCTTCAGCCGAGGGAAACTGCTGTACTCTAAATAATGTTTTTTCGCTCACTAATTGGTCACATAGTTACTTTGTTTTTACTATCCACACAGCCGGATTTGCTTTGGTTAATTGCAGAGGCCAGCGCTTTTTATATGTGCCTCCAAAAATGAATTTTTTAGCGAGAGAAACTTAAGCTACGAGTGTTCACGCAAGTCATACTTTTGAAGAAAATTCTGAATGTGTAAATTGAACAGAAATATGATTTGCATTATAACACTCACATTTGACTAAAATGATGTGCTTTCTAGAGAAAACTAATATATTGTTGTGATTATCGGCGTTTTAACAAACTTTTCCTTCACTTGGCCTCTTACCTTAAACGCGACCGGAAGGTGGATGTGGCTGGCATTCTGAAGTGCCAGTGGTTTCTACATACAGTACCAAAGCATCACTTGACCGAAGTCAACAAGCACGTTTTTTTGTTTTCCATTCATGGGGAACAAGTGAACAGAAAAACCGGAATGAATGGGTAACGCGGGCTCTACCTATCACAAGTGCCGGCGAAAGAACTCACGTTTCGTAGTAATCAAAAAAAACAAAAACACAAATAATATTTCAAAATTAAATTATTAGTATATCTATCAAGGAACAAGTTAGACCAACTGACCAACGCATACAATAAGGTGTGCTTGACGGAGTGATCCCTGCGCAGAGTAATCCCCGCGCAGTAAATCAGGCCAGTCTTTGGCAGCGGCAGAGAGCAGTGTGCTTACGAGGCAGATTGAACTAAATTTCGCTTAGTAAAAGTAAAAGATGACTGATCCTTCTTCCAGAACTTTCCATGAATCTGTGCCAACAGGCATGCCTGTCCACTGTCGTGCATCAGGTTCTTACAGAACTCACGTCACATGGGCATAAAATAGCGGTAGGAACAGCCCAAATCACATCTACAAGTAGAAAACAGCATGCGTGCTATAGAGCCAGTTGTTTTCAGAGGGATTGATTAAGAGAAATACGCAAGCACGGACGAACAGGCACAGGAAAGTTCAAATGCTGCCTAATAGTTTTCTTGTGTGGTCAGACCTAATGTTCACTTCTGAAATATTGAATTGTGACTTCTTGAACACAGCACGAAAAATTCAATTAGCTCATTCACGTGTTATTAACGTTTTTTATGGCAAATTCCTCGGGAGTAGGGTATACGAAGTTCCTTTTGATGCACTGCTAAGAAAAAATCCTATTGTCACACAGTCGAAGTGTTCGGGCATGCTGATATGAAATTATCAATACAGAGAGCAGTGAGCACGCACTTATTGTGCCTTATTTTTCGGTGGGCGTTCATCACAGTGTTTGGCAACTTACAAAAAAAACGGTGCAGTTATCTGGTAACATTTTCAAAACTACTTCACTTACAGCATCAAAGTCAGAGATGACTTCGTTAAGGAAGCGAAGGCACTCGAGTCCCTGGTTGTTTACAGACTCCTCGGTGTAGAAATCGGAGAAATTTGGCATGGCCGCGAACAGGACACCCACGAAGTCGTGGCTCTTGCTGTACAGCTCCTGCGTTACACAAGGCTTCATCCGTGACAGTACTGGCAAAAGTTGTAGGGAGTGTTGTGTTAACTATATCAATATGGCAATATTTGAACGCATTTAGCACTCATCAGCCTGCAGTTCTTCAAAAGACAGAACGCCAATTGTTTCAATGGACACGTCACAATCGTCTGCTGAATTATTTATTAGTGGATGACCGAGGGCTCCATACAAGGACCGTTTTCATTTTATTTGTGAATGGTTTACCCTCATATCTGGACAGTGCTACTGCTCTGTTTTATGCGGAAGATACTGACCTGCTAGTTTCTGATACGAGGGAAACTTCGTTCATTACTAAAATTAGTGCTGAATTTTATAATCTTCACCACTGTTGCACAACCGACGCCGTAACATTTTAAGCTACGAAAATCATATTCATTATTTTTTACTCCGAAAGATGCTAAATCCTTGCATACAATGACTTGATCTACAAGTGTTTACAGCATGCCACTCACCCTCAATTCCTGGGAGCGTACATGGATTCTCACCTCAAATTTCATTTATGTGCTCGCAACGTTGTTAAGGAACCCTCATACAGACTGCATTCTTTGTTATTGTCAACATTTTTTTTCAAGTCAAATGCTGAGTAATCTTTAGTATGCATTCATTAATTCACTCATAAATTATTGCATTGCTAAATGAAGTCCAACGTAGACATTTTTGCCTAAGTTCGTTCTAATTATCGAAAAAAAAGTTCTACGCATAATGCCTATTATTATGAATGTGTGGCCACCATTGCGCATTGCCCTCCACAGCCTCCTTCTCGTCAATGGATAGCCCGGCATGGCACGGCCACTTGCTGCAACACGCTTCTGATGAAATACAGGGCCACCGCAGTTTCACCGGAGGCTTACGTCATCACTGGTGGCCTTGAAATGAAAGCTGCCAAGCCGATGCTACCCAAATGGTTTCAGGCCTTCTCATTATGTTTGCCATGGGCTTTGACGTCATTTCTTTTATACCGGTGTGAATCGCTGCACAGACGTGCCTACGCTTGCTCTCGTCACTCGACAGACGTGGTTTGCCAAGCTGAACGAATGTTTTCGTGGCGTGCTGGTGTGCTTGTTCGCGACTGGAGAGGACCCATCGTTTTCTGTTTGCGTGAACTGGGGCATGGATGTGCGATGTGTTTCATGCACTAGGTACTCACAATCTGTACGACTGCAAATTCCGACGGTTGGGCGATGCTGCGCGGCAAATTTTCGCGGGAAAAGAAGCGTAGTTGCGAGTGTTTTCATTTCCCAAGAACTACCGAAGAAAGAAATTGGAGCGTGCCGTTTGTCAAGCTGACGTCGACATCCGTCTTCTTCATGACCCGAAGGTGTGGGTGTCAGTACTACATATTTCTAAGTCGTTCTAATGGCTCCGTCTCTGTAAAGTTATCAAGTTTCGTTGTTGCTCTAAAATAAAGGTGTCATGTGTGCATCTTACTTGTTGGCGTTTGCCATAACATTAGAATAATAAACGCGCGTGGCAGTACGTTTTCAGAACATGCGTTTTTTCTTCAGGGCCAGTTATCATTTCGCTAATGGTGATTACCGCCATGGACTCCTTGTATTACGTCTGTTCACCTAGTAGAGAAAAAAGAAAGGAACGCTGTTGCATTACTTAGCGCATCACTTTTGTGCATAGCATATTTTTACCGGTGTTTCTACCACTTCACTGCGATATTATGATTTTGCGCCAGTATCTTCAGCACCTTAGCCTAATACGTTTCTATGAAATTTAGATGAATGTAGACACGCTAAAAAGCTCTCCTAATTGGTTTTATAGTGGGTTAGTTCAACTACAAGCTGTAATATCTAAGAACCATTGCCAAAAATATACTGATCTAAGAACCGGCAGTGCAGTAGAAGCGCCCACAGAGGCTGCATGGTTTAACATAGACCAGTACTAACATTTTTCCCGGGCATTGAGCTATATGACGGGCTACGAACCACTGCGAGAGAGCCAGAGCAAAAGAATAAACGCTGCTCCTAGTGTCGGTCACACTAGAGATTTTTGTGAAACGAAATATTTTGTTTTCTCTCGCAATTGTCATGACTAATGACACTATTATTGTGCTGAATTACGTACTTGTCGCAGCAGCGCACACTCTCTAAAATAACTACGTGTCTATAGAAAATATTTAAAAGAGTGCAAATAAAACTGCAGAAACTTCGCAAATGAGTAGGACCAGTTTCTCTGCAGGCTGTATAGATAGTGTGTGTGCGTGCACGCGCGCGTGTGTGTGTGTGTGTTAAAATGAAAAATGAATAAAATGTATCTTGTTTACTTCGTCCCTTTGTCGGTCCATCAAATTTCCATAGCGTTCGATAGCACACGTTCGATAACGCATAACCATAATACGTGGCAGAAATGGCTCACGGGTGAATCTTCGAACTCCTTCAAGTGCAATGAATTACTTGAACCAGGGCATCTTTTTTTACCCAAACGGCAGAATAAAGCGGGTAAGCATTAAACACTCGCCGCGAACGCTTTATCTTTTAGCAGGAGACGATCGTGGCAACAGATTCACAGCCTCCGGTACGCGCACTCGCTCGGGCCAAACGAGTGACGTCAGGGAGGCGACGAGCGGGCCTGATAAAACTCTGCTACGTAGCATTGGCCAAGCTCGCTGTTATTATTAGGATTACGTCATCGCCCACCTGGACGCACGTTACGCCAAGTAGGTCCGGGATATCCTTGCCAACCTACCAAGGGACAACCTGTACGAACGCCTGAAAACGGCACTTATACGCCGCTTGTCACTTTCGGAAGAACGGAAGATACGTCAACTACAGTCCGCAAAGGTTGCCGAGCGCAAACCTTCGCATCTACTACAAAGCATGCGTGCGTTTTTGCGCAACATGGTCCAGAATTCATTTATGCAATCACTTCTTCGCCCACGGCTCCCGCTGCACGCCCAGGCAATTCTGCAGGCATAGGTCAGGCTACCTCTCGACGAACTTGCGGAAATTGCTGATCACGTCGTCGAGGCCTCATTGCCGCAGGTGTCGCCCACCATCGAGGCTGTCACCGCACCACTGAACACCACAGAGCTCGCGCTTTGTATCAACTACATCGTTCGACGGCTCACCTTCATTTAACGAAACCTGCGTGAACGTACCCCGATGCGGCAGCGCCACCATTCGCCAAGTCGCGACTGTAACACCACCTCATCGCCGCAACCTGATATCAATGGTTTGTGCTACTATTACCGATGCTTCGTCGACAAAGCCCGGATATTTTGATTACCATGTTCTACGGGACAAGTGGAAAACGACAACGGCAGCTCGTAAAGACAGCCGCAAGGTGCACACCCGGAGGCCGTCGCATCTTCGTCACCAACCAAATCACAAGGTAGCGTTACCTGGTCGACCGTGGTTCCGACTTTTGCGGCTCCCCGAGATCCCAGCTTCAATGACCCAACCCCCCGACATCTTTGGAGCTCAACACGGCGAACCGGTCCACAATGAAGACGTATGGCTCGCTGTGCCTGAACATCCAGCTCAAGAACTCACGCCGCGACCTTCACTGGAACTTTGTCGTCACTGACATCGTTAACTTACCACAACCTCCTTTCGGACCACTGACACGACCGGCTTATAGACGAGACAACGTGACACGCCACACCAAGCCAGCGAACGACCACCCAACAGCCAAGCATTAAGGTACTCGTATCAACGATCGCTTGCCATACCATGCCATCCTCGCCGAGTTTTCTGGCTTGACGCGTCCCAGTGGGCTGTCACACAAAGTGCAGCACAACACCGTGCACTACCTCCAGACCAATTCAGGACCCCCGGTTTTCTGCCGCGCCCGTTGTCTGGTCAAATACCACATGCGCATAGCCAAAGAAGAGTCAGAAGCCATCCTACGAGAAGGCATCACACGCCCCGCCGCGTTGGTCTAGTGGCTAAGGTACTCGGTTGCTGATCCACAGGTCGCGGGATCGAATCCCGGCTGTGGCGGCTGCATTTTGACTGAAGGCAACAATGATGTAGGCCCGTGTGCTCAGATTTGGGTGCACGTTAAAGAACCCCAGGTGGTCGAAATTTCCAGAGTCCTCCAATATGATGTCTCTCATAATTATATTGCCACGAGCGAAACAACAAAGACAGCCAGGAGTTGACTTCTAGCCCAGAACCAGACTAAGAAGCTGTAGAACAAAGAGAAATGATTTTCTCGGTAAAGCGAAAAAATTGCAACTGGATGCTACGACACCTGGCTTCCATTCCACCTCCAGAGTTTATGTGAATGAGCACCTAACCCACATGGCAAGCAGATACTTGGTGCCACGGTGCAAAAAAAAAAAAGAACGAACTACGATGAAAATTCGCGTGGACAGCGGGAAGCAAAGTGTTTGCGAGAGAAAATGAAGACTCTCCAGTATTGAAAGTTTCATGCATTAGTGATATTGAGACGATGAACGAGGCAACGTAGCGTGTGTCATGTGTGTGTGTGGGGGGGGGGGAGAATCACCTCGTAGATAATGGACTTTCCTACGGGGTGGCAAAGCAATTTAGGTTAAAATGTCAATAAATTATTGAGTTCGGTCTGAGCTTTCAGTAATAAATAATAGCATTGAGTGTTTGTCGGTACGTTTGGAGAAGTTAATAGTTGTTGTGTATCGACCACCAATTGGTAACAAATTAGACCTATTTGACAATGTGGAGCATGTGTTTCTTTTTTATGTCAATTTCTCATGGCGTTTGTATAATGGGGTTGTCAACATAAATATTTTATCAGGTGACACGGCTCCTAAAAATTGCTGAAATCATTCACTCCTCTGCGTACACATATCTTGTCACAGAAGCCACAAGATTAACAGAAACAAGTGCTACGTTACTTGACATATGTGTAAGTGTGTAAGAAACATTCATTCACGAGACTGTATCGCTGGACTGTTAACAGTCGACTTAAGTGACCACCTACCAGTCTTTTGTCTACTGCCAAACACGCATGTCAAACGCAAAACTAACGTA